CCCCCCCCCCCCCCCCCTCCTTCACACACACACACCTTATAACTACTTTAAACAAAAGTCCTTGTATTGTAAGGAAGCCGGACTGGGTGTGGGCCTCCTTCGCGTGGCTTCCTAGATGTATTTCTCAGCCGCATCCTCTTCCACTCCGCAGGGGATCTGACAGATGCCAAAACGGAGAGCAAGGTGGGCTCCCTGCAGCACGAGGTGGAGTGGCAGGCCTACCACAACGTCCTGAAGAGGTCACGCGTGATGGAGCGCACCAGGTGGATAGACATCCGCGGAAATCACGGTGACTGAACTCACTGGTTACGGTTGACTCAGAGCGAGGGAGTGTACAATTAGGACTTTCTGAAGAATCCATTAACTGTCGTGCATTTTAGTACAGGAAAACCCTCCCTTTTCTTTTTTCTTCACTGCTGCTTCTCCCTCTGTTATTGGACCGTAAGCTCTTAGATGTGAAACAAGATAGCCTTGCTTTCCAACTGTCCAAGAAAAAAAGAAATTAGAAAGCCAGTTATTGGGTTTGTTTCTCTGATAGCTGTTATTGATTGCAGTTGTTGACGTCCGTCCTGTCAGTTTTATCTGTTGGCGTCTACGTAACAGCAGATATTGTTCGATATCTCTCCGTGACACGAAAAGGGGGAGAAATCTGATTCCTGGATTCAATTTGTGTCGCTCCCCTGGGGAGTTTCTTCATCAAACATTCTGGTCCTTAGCAGTAAATCTTAAAAGCTGTCGTCCTTGTCACTTCTCTCTCTTTTTTTTTTTTACTTCTCCTTTTACATTCTGCTTAATCTCACTGTTTTTTTCCGTTTTCTCCTAACAGATGCCTTCAATATTATGTCGCTGGACAGCATCAACAACTATTACCGGTCAGTATGGAAAGGTCAATACTACAGAGCTTGCCTGATTCACAGTCCTACTCCCGCATGTCTTTATATGAGCGTATGAAGTTGATCAGAGCACATAGTAACTTCACTGCCTCTGAAACATGAGTAGCTGCAGACCTACAATACTCCGAGCTGCTGTCTGAGCTCCTCTGAGGACCAAAATAGAAGCAGAATGTACACATGATCAGACCGACTCTTTCTCCCTCGTATTTTGACACAAACGATGTTTTATGCGACATCGTTACCTCCGTTAATGCTGATTGATCTTTCGTCTCCGCGAATATCCCTTAATGTTGCGGCCATCCTCTGCGAGAGACAGTCTGCCTCCTGTACGAGCCTGATTTATTTATTTAAAATGCATTCAATTATCCCAGGACCCTATTAGGATTGGAACTGCTGGCTCCATCCCAGACCACGGTATCTTGTTGCTCACGTTGACTCTTTTTTATTCTCTTCCAATCCCTCTCTAGGAAGTACTCGGCTAATCAGAAAGTCGGCTCTTTCCACTACGTTCACAAAACTCCCTTTGGCAACTACTCTTTTGTCTGTGCGGATGCCACCCTGACTCCAGGACCCAAGAGGCCGTACAATTTCTTTGGTATTCTCAACCAGGTACGGCCGTCGCCCACCTTCTCTTGATAGAACATAAACGTTCGCTGAATTTGTGGCAAACTCCAGAAAGCCGAGAAGCTTTACTTTTAAAGATTGGAGGAGATTTGATTTAGGATTGTGGCTATTACTAATTTATCAAAGAAAAAAGCAAATAGAAGGTTGTACTGACATATATAACGTATATAATACAGTACTTTAAATGGTAAACAGTGCTGTAAACATGTTTCGCAATCACTGTCTTCATAGGAATAAATGATAATAACATATAAATAAAGCACTTACACATTGTAGATGATGAGATATAAGGGAACATAAATGTTTTTTCCTCAATACATACACAGACTCAGATGGACTTGCTGGACACGTTCAGAGCTGAGAGTCTGAAAAGCAACCAGTCGATCTGGTTTGGCCACTACACCACATCCACCGTTGTCTCCCCTTCTCCGGGAGTTCGGGACATGATGAGGTTAGAAAATACTGCTGTTAGAAGCTAAACCAGTAAAGCAGCTAAACTGGGTGTGTAAATGCCTATTTGTCTTTCAAGTCATTGTGCAAACATTCAAGAGCCTGCTGTTTTTGACCTTCAGGCAAGATGTTTATCAGAAAAGGCTGCTGGTTTTAAATTCCTCCTGTTAAAATATATTAAAATCAAAGTCATAGTGTGATGGTTACATGTGACATGATAGAGATTTTCTTTTTTTAGATGCATTTTCAGCAATATTATAAATGTTGTCGAGCAGTTGTTGGTATATTATGACAACGTTATTACAGTTTTTTTTACATTCTTGTGTCTTAGATCTGCAGTTGCCTATTTGTGTGGCCACCTGCACACACTGGGCGGCCTGATGCCCGTCCTCCACAGCCGACATCCCCAAGGCACCCTGGAGCTGGAGCTGGGTGACTGGATGGACAACCGCCGGTACGGAAAACAACAGGATCACAAAATATCTCCTCATTATTTGGTTTTTATCCCACCGCAGAAATAAAGAATTACACAGCCGTATCTGCAAGTCTTTAAAAGTAAAAGCAATTGGAAGGTATTAAAAGGTCTAAAATTGTTCTTTCCTGCCATAGCAACTAATGTCAGTTGTGTTTGCATCTGATTGCGGGCTGTCAGGAGACATCACACGCCTATAAACTACTAAAAGAGGGCTTGTTTGGACAGCAGATTATGCACACAGGAGGCTGTTTAATCACTTGTTGTCGCTGCCGTTAGCTACAGTAACTAGGAAGCTCATCAACTCATAATGGGCGAGTGTCAATTTTAGCGAAACCTGACATTAACATAAACGAGTTAATCGTTTTTTTATCCGGATCCAGCTTGCGTTAATTTAATTAATTGTATCATTAGGAATCATTGTTTTATACTGTTTGGAAGTACTGTAATTCTGGGCCACATCATGCTGGTTATGGCCAGTATATAAATTGCATTCTGTGTGGTATTAAAAGGTCTTAAAAAGTTAAATTTCGCTTTGGTGAACTTTGCAGAAACCCCAGTTTCACATCTGTCTCCAGGTACAGGGTTCTGGCCTTTGACCACGACCTGCTGAGTTTCTCTGACCTGAGGTTTGAGCAGTGGCCTGCAGTGCTCATTACCAACCCCAAGGACGCGCAGTACCTTCATCCCGGAGTGGAGCCGCTGGGTCGAATACGGAGATCGACACACATCAGGTGTCTGTTCTGTGTGTGCTCACCGTTTGTTGAACCATAAAAATCTCCACAACCTGCCCGTGTTGCATAATATAACCAGCTTGCAATGTTGTTTTTTTACGTCACTGTTAAGTAAATTAGGGATCTCTGCCTAGGAAGTTATGCTTTTGGTTTTGTTGTGTGTTTGATTGCTACTGTCTGTCTAAAAAATCTAGTTTTAAGTGTAATTTGGTAGAAATTTAGGTCATAGCCATTTAGCCATAGCCATATAGTCATAGTTAGATAGATCTGGATCTACAGATCTTTTAAATGATTTGTTAACATTAGAAGCTATTTCTCATGAACTAGTGCACTTATTTAAATGGGAATAACAAGCACATATACCCTGTACATTTCTAACATGAAATCTGAATACAGAATTTTCAAACATTTTCATTTCTTTTGGCAGATTTCTCATAAATTGCGTTTCACTGGGCACCACGTAATCACAATAACACTACCTTTATGTAATTTAAAATATTAAAACATTAATTTTCTTGGTCCTCAACAGAATCTTGGCCTTCTCCGAGGCTCCAATCACAGCAGTGCATGTGAGTGTGGACGGGGAACCTCTGGGGAAAGGCCACTCTGCCGGAGGTCCTCTGTACGTGCTGCTGTGGGATCCGTCTCTCTACCTCACTGGACTGCACACCATCAGAGTTAAAGTGGAGGTCACTACATTCATTTATCTTCCACTTAAAGTGAAAAGTGTTCAGAGACTTTTAAATATTGCATAGCTCTGGATTAAATTTAGTAGGCTTGTTTGCTCCAATTGAATCATGAGAGTCTAGGCACTGTGGCTTTGACGCACCACTTACTATTGATTACTGGCAGAGCTGCCAATCCCACTATTATGCAGACTTTCATGTGCTCTTCCTTATATTTGTAGACGTATTTGCTCCTCCTCTTATCTTTTCCTGTGTCTGTGTGTGAGTTAGGACGCGGCAGGCCGGTCGTCGGTGCGGGAGCAGCACTTTACTCTGGAGGACGACCTGACTCCTAGCTTTGGTTTCGTGCAGTCCTTCATCCTCCTCACAGATCATTACATCCTGGGCCGAGTGGTTTTCATATTTATGATGCTGCTGAATGTCGGCGTGCTGCTGGCCTTCAGGTTCCTGCGTGTTCCCCCCGGGAGAGGTGAGCTGTCACTGGCCGCCCCGCGAACCAATACATCATCATAACCTAATTTAAAATACAGGCAACTGAAGTGCAGTGTACTCTTTGCTCTGGGTGCGACACAAGCACAAGAATTTATCATGTTTGCATTGCCATATAGGTGTCAGTAATTATTTAAATAACAATAATTATTCTGTTTTTTATCCATTCATACATTTTTGTTTGGTTTATCATCTACAGGATTGACCTCTCAAGCCTGTATGTCGCTCCATCTGGTCAGTACAATGGACACCTTCTACTACTCGCTGCTGCTGTTCAACCTGTGTACAGCGTTAGGTGGGTTAAAATAGTATTGCAATAGTAAATCTACACCATATCTGTGAATTAAAGACTACATAATATAGCTCTTATAGTAACAGGCAAACATACATAGGCACCTATAAGATATCTCTGTAAACATGCTGGTTTACTTCACAACATTTCCTTGTCATTGGTGTGAATACTAGAAGCTCTGCAAATTAAAAAACAAGCCAGTCTATTTATATTTTTATATGCGAGGTGTGGATTAACACAGAAAAGAGTCATAAAGTGTTTTAAATTAAATTAAACTACTGACAGGAAATTACTCTCGCTTGGTTTTGTTTCTATTATTATTTATTATTTCCTGTTACCTGCATCCTTTGATAAGAGCTGACAAGAGAGATTGAGACTGAATTACAGAGAAATGATACCACTCACATACCTTACTGTAGTCTGTGCATGTTTACTTACCCGTACGGCACAAACTTGGTAAAAAGGTTTCACATCGCTGTGCTTATTGGTATTATTCGACTTTTAAAGCCAGCAGTGCAGTTTCCTTCAGAAATAGCCTTCTATAGTCTTACATCTGTTTCTGCATAAATAGCTCCCATGTTTCCGCCTGTCTTCCCTCAGGTCCATGGTTCATAGGAGAGCTGATAGACGGCCATAGTGGGGCCTGCTTCGCCTTTGGGGTGTTCGTTGATGGGCACTTCCTGGAGGGCAGTCTCACTTACGTTGTTGGAGTTGTGCAAGTAAGAAAATGTATTTTATTCAACACGTCTAAATCTCAGTAGTGTCTGTACAAGAGCAAGACCTTCTGCAGATATGCTTAGTGTGTGTAATAGCTGCGTACATAAGTTATAACTTCACCTTTCACTAACTTAAAGCAACTAAAATCAATGCTTCTTATTAGCAAAAGGTCACACGACTAGTGCCCTCTGTTCCATGGAGCTTTCAGCTTTACTGTTTTGGTTTGCTCTCATAGTGTTTTCGGCCACAGCAGGCAGCTGTTTTCATCACAAAAGCCCTAAAAACCAACTGTACGCTACCTACCCAGCACCAAACCGTAGACAGACACAGGTAGTGACTGACTGGTGAACACAGTGGTGCATTTAGCAGCTAAAGAGTCAGATATTTCCATCAGGAGTTGGTAGAGACCTCATCCAGTGGCCAGAAAAACAACACCAAACACCCAAAAAGTGTTAATCTTGCAGCTTTACGCCCATTTTGGCACATAAATCATATTTTTAATTATAATTTTTAGCTTAATATGTTCCACAGACCTACTAGTGTCTTTTTGCAATTTCACAACACACAAATATATATATACAATATTCTTAAAACACTGAATACCTTTTAACTATAATACTAAAAAGTTAATTAAACTGTCCACATGGAAAAATCTTGAGTTTGTGTGCACTGTCTTCATTTTAAGGTCACAAGCCAGACAGATGAACCGCCGCCTTACACCGACCTGCATATCATAATTATCCTCATCTTATTTTAAGGACTAATCACATTAAACCGGACTCATTTCCTCTCCGCCAGATCCTGTTCTTCAACATGCCCCTCACCTCTTATCTGTGCTGGAGCCTCCACCACCGTTGCCGTGGCAACACCTTCCAATCCCACTTCCTGCGGCCGGGCTGCCGCTGGCGGACTCTGGCGGTTCACCTCTTCATGCTGCTGCTGCTCACTTGGCAGGCCCACTCCTGCTACTTTCTCCTGGAGACCTACGGCCTCATAGCCTTCTTCCTGTCCCCTGTCCGCACATGGGCGTTCGGGCTCAGTCTGCTATTGGTCTACCGCGCCTGGACTGGCCCCGCCCCTCTCCTCCGCGACAACAGCAAGGGCGTCTCTCCCTCTTGACAGTAATTGCACTGCACCGCCACCATTCTTCCCCCCCCCAATAGCGTCAACAATTCTGAACTATGTGCAAACTCTGCTGTTCACTCTTGATATGTTTGTCTTTCTAACTTGCACTGACTCCACGCCCACCACTGACGGGACGCCTGAAGAATGTCCCTTTTCAGTGCAGGTACACAACATGAAAGGAAAAACACTCAAATACAATCGGAAAGGAAAAATAAATAAAAAAACAGAAGTACTGGTTACTTCATTTCACCACAATCTATAACACATTCATTTTTGTTTAGTTTGGTTTTTTATTAACCGCCACGCATCTCGACTGTTGGACGTGTATCTATTTTTTTTTTAGTTCACTGAGCTACTTTGATATAAAAAACATTGTCCTGAATTTTACCTGGGACCAGCCTATTGTTCGAGTGCTCACAATTCCTGAGAAACAAACAGCTGCTTCCTGTAGTCACATTTGAAGGAGCACATAGAGTCGGGCCGACTTCTTTTTTGACATGACTGTTCGTATTTTAGTACGTTTTATAGTGGCAGTTTTGTGCAATGCTAATCACTTTTATTTAAAAACAGCTTTCAATCATTAACTGCTTGTACACGGCTCAACTACAGTATTGATTGATTTTGCGTTTCCTTCCTTTGATTCACTGTAAATATGTAGAACAAACTCGGAAAAACTAGTGATCGTCTAGGTTGGCGGTACCTGTGTCGTCCTTCACCAAAGTTACTGTACTACACGGGGAAGTTAAGGGAAAAGCTTAGAGTATACAAGTGATGCCGTACACCTTTCTTATCCACATGATAAGTGTGTCAGAAGGGTTAAAACCATGATCATTTTGCGCATCCAGCCTTCATTAGTGAATGAAATATCATTTTCCAGGAGAAAGAATAAAAGTGAAATCTTTTCTTATTCATCCTTTGGCATGGTGAAGTTGGAATTGGCCAAGGCAACACTTCCAAAAAGTCAAAGCCTCAAGTAAATGAGTCGCTTAAACCACAAGAGATACAGGCTCTAATATGTCAAAAGCTGCGGCCACACATTGGACTAGTCCCTCACATAGTTTAAATAGGCGATTTTACCCCTCAATGTATCCAAGGTGTTTTATTTTTTTTTTCACTGTACACATTGCTATGAATATCGCCAGAAAATGTGCTGCACCGGTGCTTTACAATAACATCATATTAAGTAAACAAATACTATCTATAAACAGGATAGTGGAGTGATGTACTGTGAAGTGGCTTGGAAAGGAGGGAGAGAGGAAAGAAGGAAGGGGCTGCTGGTCCCGGGAATAATTGTTTAGGTTTTGGGTGGGAAAAACATAGAAGACAGCCAAAATATATCTGTGAGTCAGCTCAAGGCGGG